ATGGGCCAGAAATAACCGAAAAGACTAGACTCCCTCCAAGAGTTTTGAGAATGATCACAAATGCAAAATAAAAACGTAGATTCAGAGATCCGACGTAGGGAAATATTCATTTGTAAAATCGTACGGTTTAAAAATGGAATGAAATCCTGCAGCGGTCTGTAGAGCCTTTTCCTGGCTTGTTGGTGTTTAAGAAGACGATTTAATAAGTACTGTAGGCTGTATTTTTACGACCAGCTCAGAATACACAATTTGTAGATTATTATAGATAAAGTGTAGTGTAGTTCAGTGCAGTGGAAGCTACTTTAATTAGTTATATGGCATAACAAAGAAAGATGTAGTGAAAGTGTAGTGTAGGTAGTGTGTGTAGTGTAATGTAGTGAAGTGAAGTGAAGTGAAGTGAAGTGCGACAGTAGGTGGGGAGAAATCTAAATGCTTAAAGAGCTAACTTTAAAAGTCCACGATTGTGTTTATATTTAAAAACAAATTGTGTAACTGGTTAATTTTATGTATATGTATATATGTGCATGTTTACTAGGTGTAACTAATATATGTTAATTTAAATGTAGGATGTATAATATATGTAGGGCAAGTGTGTGGTGCAAGTCCGTGTTATGTGTGAAATGAGGTGAGCATTAGTTATAGGAATGTGTGTGTATGTATGTATGATGTGTATGTATATATGTGTGTGTGTGTATGTATGGTGTATATATGTGCCATAGATGTATACAGGTCTGTGTATGTTTTATATTGAGTGTATATGCTTGAAAGAAGTGTATTGTAAATTGTTTTTATATGGTAAATTGTTTTTGTATAATAATTTCATATTTTGTAAAACTGTAGGTTGTGGCTACCACTGGCAATCAGTCATTGTAGCCAAATAAATATTATTATTATTATTATTATTATTATTATTATTATTATTATTATTATTATTATTATTATATTATTTCAGTGTATTTTTTGATTTTTCAAAAATTACACAAAGAATTAAATTTTTTGAAAGATCTCTCACGCCATTGATGGCAGTTGGCAAAAGTATGCGGCAAGTCCAAATAGCTAGCCAAGACCAAAGGAAATAAAAAACTAATGCCGAAAAGTCTGTGCCATTCCGTAGCACCACTATTTAATTTGGACCTTCACTTTCTCGGGGCACAATTAAGCTATTGCATTGATCGAAATGCTTTTAGTTGGATGTTTATGGGTTTAGAAAAACTTTGGATCTCTTTTGGTGAATTTCCTCAGTTTTCAAGTTACTCGACAAAACTGAAAGTTTACTCATTTACATTATGTTTTAATGTTAGAGTGAAAAAAGGGTTCTTTTAACATAATCTCCTGTGCAAAGTAACATTTATTATTTTGAAAGTCCAATGCATACAATTTTGATAGAAATAAAAATGTATATTTGTATAAAAAATAAATATTCCACATTATGTAATAAAAAGTAATAATAGGAAAAAAGAAACTTAAATAACAGTTGACAAAATACACTACATTTCAGAGAAAACGCCATCTGAAATTTCTTTAGTTGTTTCTGACATTATCTTGGACAAACAGACAGACAAAAATTGTAAAAACAGTTGAATGGGTGTTTGTATTGTGTAAATCACCACATGAGCATACAAAAACATTTATAAAATCACATACATACTATGCTATTAAGGTAGATGAACTCTCACAAAAGACTTTGGAGAATCTCATATGTGAGCAAAGAGTGATTCAAAGAGCACTCTTGTTCCATTTAAGTTTCACTTTTTCTTCATACTCATTTTTTTAAAATGAACAGTTTGCTGTTCAATTAATGAAGTCATAAATGAATATTTCTTTTATTCAACCACTTTTGAACATTTGTCAAGCTGTATATAACTCTCCTAGACCTATTTCTTAATAGTTTTTATTTAAAAAGATGTTTCATAATCTTTTTAACAGCATTGCCAAAAATGCTCAATATTGTCTCATCTTTGAATGTATGAGCAACATCGTTTTTCAAGCACTTTCTTATCATTCAGCCTATTAAAATGTATTGAATTGCTTTTTATTTCCCAGTTTCATATTTTCAGGATCAGCCTGGTGGAGAGTATTCCCGAAGGACTACAATATCCATCTGGCTCTGCATCACACCCATCCACTCACCAAACATGGTTGGACCTCATTCAGGCCGCTGAGTATTCCATTGAGATTGCCTCCTTCTACTGGACCCTGCAGCAAGGGGAGGTGTACCCAGACCCCTCTTCCAAGCAGGTACAACCCCACCTTTACTTGTTTCAAAATCAGACTAAAGATGTGAAGCAATGTGTGGAAATATGATGTTTGCTCTTGTGAATTCTTAAGTCAAAGAGTTCTCAAATCTTTTTGATAGTTTGAGTATCCCATGAGAATGAAATGTTGATTTTTTAATTTTCATATAATGTTATTCCCTTTCTTCTTTTAGGCTGTGCATACATTATACTGCACATTAGGATTTCTCTTTAAAAGACATTTGAGAGGAAGTTCAAATTAAGCTAGAAACTTAAAGCGTTTTTGTTTTTTATTTTTGAAATTTGGATCTCTGTATTCAATGCTCTTGTAGGGTGAACAAGTGTTCCAGAGTCTGCTAGAAGCAGGCACCAAACGCAATGTTTCTGTGTTCATTGCTCAGAATAAGCCTGAGCCAAAGCAGCCAAATATTGACACGGACTTTCTCGCATCCAAAGGCGCTGCGCAGGTAATATTAACACAGAATAGAAAATAGTATTTGTTTGCTGAAATACCTAAAAACTCTTATTTTTATTTTTTAATTATGTTTATTATTTAATTTGCTTTTGCTTTACCAATACTTGTTAGAACTCCTCTTATTGCTCATTTGCTCATATTGCTTATTTTCATATTGCTCATTTGCAGCTGTTTATGCAGTGGGAGTTTGCATATGAAAGAAGAATTTTTATGACAGAATTCGTATCTCATCTTAGATTACTTTTCCAGTTTCATGCTTTTGAATATTCACCAAGTCATGTTTCCTTTTGAAGTGTAGCACATTTGAAAGTTCCTAATCAAAAGTACCGTATCTCAGCAACAGAAAGTTTCATTAGGCAGTCTACTACATTGTCAATAGCAAATATAACAAAATAATTTATAAGAAATAGACAGAAATTTGGATGGACATACTTCAGCTTGTTCAGAAAAGTCCATCGATAGGAAGTGTGGCGCTATGGCAGTGATCTTTTAGTTTATTGAATTAGAACTCAAGCTGATTTTCAAGAATGAATGAAATCTTTTAATTTTTAAGAAAGAAATGTATATTGCATTTATACTCAAGTACAGATCTTTCATTGTTTTAATGAGATGATTGTCAAAGGGACATCAATAAATAGAATGTGTGAGATAAATGTAAATTATATTAGCATTGAAATAAAATGTTCAGCTGTGGATTAAAATTGTTTAATGGATTAGATAAGTCCAAGTAATGTTGCCAAGAACAATTAAATACATGGTTTTAATATAGATGTAATGAATAAAATATATTTATGTGTTAATAACATTGTTTGTTGAGAAAATTTTTATGTTATTATTGTTGAAATGTTCCTATAAAATTTAATTATATTATTGTTTTTTATTGTAATAATCTTCAGGTTCGAAGTGTAGACTTCCAAAGATTAATGGGAGGTGGTGTCCTGCATACAAAACTTTGGATCATAGACCGTACTCATGTTTATGTGGGAAGTGCTAACATGGACTGGCGTTCTCTTGCTCAGGTATGTTATTGGAAAGATTATAAGCAAAACATTATTTTACATCTTCATTGTGTTGTATGGGATTGTATTCATAAGAACAGTCACAGGTAGCTTCATTTTATTTTTCAGGGCAAAATAACTTGTTTTCAAATATAAATCAAAAAAAGGCTTTAGAGAGTTTTTTACTAGACCTATATTACATTGAAATCACCACTTATATTACTCAAAAATCCCAAATTTGCATAGCAACAATAATTTTAAAACAAGGAAGAGGTACAACAATGGGATTCTTTGCACAATATTTCAATTTGTGTCCATAACATTACTGTATATTGAAGAATTAAATAATTTAAAAAAATATCAACAGTCCTTCCAATTTCACAATACCACATACTTTGTGGTAGTTCATTTGCATTTCCACCCTTATGGATGCAGAAGAAATATATATTAGTACATTTAGGGCACATAATTTACCTAATTTCAACAGCATTACTTGCTCAATGTTCAGAATTAACAAATTTTTGAAATAAGCTCAAACTTTTAATGAGGTTTCTTTTTTGCATTATTGAAAGAGTTAACACATGATTTAAGTACTCATTCTCATGTTTGACTGGTTCTTATTAGAAATGTTTCCATTTTCAACACACTTCTAGTTTACCCTTCTTATATTTGGACAATATTTTTGTAAATAAAAAAATTAAGCACTTGAATGAATAACAAATTGTGGAGACAATTCTTACTAGGTAATTTACTGTATATGCACACAAAATAAATTTAGCAATTTATAATAATCATTTCTGTGCTTAATAATTATTTATGAGGACATTACTTTTGTATCATATCATGTATATGTATCATTTTTAATTTATCTTATAATCCACATGAGAGTTTTTGTAGGACTTGTATTAATTTTTTGTGATAATCTTGTACAGGTGAAGGAATTAGGAGCTGTACTCTACAATTGTACCTGTCTTGCAAATGATATTGGCAAAATTTTTGATGTGAGTATTAAGTTTGAAACTATAACAAGGTGATTTTTTTATAAATTCTTCCTTTTCCACTCTCATCATACATCAGAAAATTTGTTTTCAAAATTAATTTTTTGATGGTCATATGGTATGTACTCAAAATTGAAGCTTTCTTGTACATCTTTCATAACCTTTGGAAAATGTAATTTCCTGAACAAACATTATGAAACCTACAATTGGATTTCACTACAAGATAAGTGCAGGTAACTGGGTCATACCCGTACTGTTCTCCCCTTGAAGAAAGCATTTTATGTTGTGAACTTGTCATTACAGATTAGTGGCACATTCCAAAACAAATGCCTGTTGTACTCGCATGCCTTATGTATGAGTAACATTCAGTGTTGTTTTTAATTCATTTTGAGTTTATGTTCATTTACAACCTCTGCACCAATCTCTCCTCTAACTTGGTACACTTTTCAGTATACTTGAAACTGTTGTTAGTTTAACCACTTTGAGAGATGTTGTGAAGGGACTTTTAAATTGATAGTCAGTAAAACAAATTCAACCTTCGTATTAAAGGTATTGCTCAGATTCCGCATTATATCATAGTTGAGTGGGGTAACTGGACCATATCCTTAAGGTAATTGGGAAACAGAGACAGGTAGATAATGGGTCCAGATACTCTGTAGAAATTTCTGAAGTGTTATGTGGAAATTCAGAGGAGAACTCCTGGGTAACTGGACCACAAAAACTGAAATAAAAAAAATAAAATAAAAACTCAAAAGATATGTATTATATAATTTATATTGAGAAACTGAATTACACGCATTTTTTCTAATTAGTTGATAATTGCAAATAATACTTTCAATTTTTTGTGCTGCTTTCTGTTCAAAATACATGTTTTTGGCATTTTTTGGGTGTAGTGTTAGTAGTTCTGCAGCATTAAAGTACCCTTCTCTTGTTCAGCAAACAATTTTCACAAATCTAAGTGACAAAACTAGAGGAAACAGAAGGGGACATAATTTACTATAATTTTGTGCCTCTAATGTTTAATAATACTAAATTTATATAATTAATTATAGACTTGACCGTTAGTGACTTTCAACTAAATTTAGTCCAGATTTATTTTTGATATTCTGTAGACACGTAAAGGTGTAGGATATTACATTAAAATGTATGACAAATTCACTAAAATCTTTGATTATTTTCATTTCAAAGTTTCCAAGATAGCAGTTTGGTCTCAAATTATTGTGAAGAACTAGATAAGAATATTAGTAATCAAAACCTCTATTAGTACAACTCAAAATACTTTTTTAATCAAATGTCATTAAGAAGAAAATACAGACATTTAATTTGTACTATGACCAAGCAAACTTTTACTTAATTCTTTAAATTCATCTGGACTAAACTTAACATGTTTTAAATATAGCTTTTCTATATTCTCTTTGATCGAATTCACTTTTGCTCAAACATTCTGATGGAGCACAGAGAACACATGGTGACTGTTCTTTCAGACCATTTATTCATGGGATGGGGAGATCATGATCCTGAGTTAACATTAAAAAATATTTTATTTGCTTTAGATTTTCTTAGAAAATCCTTTCTAAATAAGGTATTCCCGGTTATCAAATATAATTGTTTCATTTTCATACTTATTTAAGAATACACTGTTCATTTAAATCATTACAAGTCAGAAGTTGTTTTGAAATTCTATCTAATACATAATGAGTTTGAAAATTGTTGTAACCGTAATTATAATATCCCAATATTTTTAATTTTTGCATTCACTAATGAAAATCTAGAAAGAATCTGAATATGTGTGTTTTAACTATTTAAGAGGCTGCTTGTTTATTATTTTCTTGAATTTCAGGTATATTGGTCTCTAGGACAACCCAATGCACAAATTCCAGGAATGTGGCCAGATACACTATCAACTCCTTATGGTATCCAAACTCCTATGAATGTGTCACTCAATGGCACAGACTCCTTAGTATATGTTTCAGTAAGTATATCTTTCATTTTTGTCTTGTCAGATGTTATATATTTTTTTTTGAATTCTGTTAAAAGGGGTAACATTGGTCACAAAGGGTGAATTTGGACACTAGGCGAATAGTACCCACAAGCTTTTTTTTATTGATATAAATAATTATCTCCTGTTAATTTATTCTTCAGACAATTTCTTGGAAACATTAAACCCACTTTCTTGCTTTATATTTCTTGGTTATGGCTTAAATAATGTGTGAATTTCTTGTTATTTATATTCTGCAAATATGTATATCTCCATAGTTCAAGCAAGTCCTACTTGTTACAAGTTTGGTAATTATATGTGGTTTTCTAATAATCTCTTCTAATTATAATGCAATGGTTATCTACAAATTGTTTAAATTGTTTACCCTGCTGATAGGCTGTGGTCCTCATAAAGTCCTACATCCAGATGTTTCATCTGGAATTGCAGCAGACACCCTCAGCAGCGGTGGGGTGATGGTTGGAGATCCTTCATGGTGTGCTGCTGGCTGACTACTGATTCTTCAGGACTCCTTTATATTTTGGCCGGCAGTTGAATGGTGCTGGCATCTGTTATCGAATGATTTGTGGTGAGTGATGTTCCGCTGATGATTGTTGTGCATGCGTCTTGCAGGTCTTGTCCTCGGGGGCAAAATTAAATAACTTTTAAAGGCCTGGTTTTGGTGTTTCTTAGTACATGCTGCCAATGAGGTGAATCTTCAGTCCTTCCTCCCTCCCATTTAAATGCTTGTAGATTTCTTTGGCTTTCCATTGCAGACATACATGACAGTTGGAGATAGTAATTATGGTCTAAAGATTCACCCTGTTTGCAACATGTATTAAGCAACTTCAAAACCAGGCCTTTCAAGATCATTGATTTACACTTGGCAGCAAGAAACATTAGTCCCTGAGGACAAGATCCATGTAACGCATGCACAACAAACATCAACACAATGTCACTGCGTGACCTGATTGGTAGCAGATGCTGGCACTGCTCATCTGCCAGCCAATACATCAAGTAGCACTGCAGAATTAGTAGTCAGCCAGCAGTACACCAGAAAGAGCCTCCAACCTTTACTCCACTGCTGCTGAAGAGGTTTGCTGTGGTTGCAAGCGAAATGACTGGAAGTAGGACTTCAAGTGGATCATGACTTATCAATGCAGTAAATAATTTAATCATTAACACTGGTCATAAAAGCTTTCAATATTTTAAGTGAAAATTATTTAAGCAATAGAGTGTCACAACAGTTTTGAGAAAAAACTATAGATGGAAACAACAGTAAGTGTTGTGACTTGGGACAGTGGGGTGTAAATACAGGACATATCTCAGACAAACAGTTGGGAGCAATTTTCCTGATGGCCTACATATGGTTGAGAAAGAAGTATGATTTGTTGCTTGACACTCCTGAAAACTTCCTACAGACTCGGGATCTCAAAATCAACTATCAAAGATGGAGAGAAGAACAAACATATGAAAGACTCACAAGAGGAATGTTTCACAAGATTCAAAGGATGCTTTTCCTTTTAAATTGAGTAAACATTCAAAAACATCAAGGCAAACAAATCATAAAACATTATCTGCATGGTTTTTGAAGAGTAAGTCTCGTTCCTTTTGACCCTGAAAGTACATCCTCAACAAACTGCAGCCTCATAGTAATAATGTATGAATCAAATCTGGACTAATTTTACTGTGATCATGATGAAGTTTGGAGGTGTCTAATAATGATATGCAAAATGCTAATATCATTTTCAACATAGCAGGTTTCTACCTGTCTGATTTGAAAACTATTTTAATATGCTGTAGATGTAACAATAGAGAGTTTGAAGAAGTCAAAACCTTGATTTTTCTACAAATGTCAGATAGATCATTATTATTGTGATGTCGCTAAACTGCAAGAATGGAGGATTTATTTGATGCCACTAAAGAGAATTGAAGATCAAGCATCAACAAAATTTGAAAGGGTTACAATGACAGAAAACTAACACCTAGAAAGAAAAGGAAGACATTTGACACACCTACAGGGACATCTGTTTGGCACATCCATGTTCTCAGAATGATGTTTGTCTTTCATCAGAAATCCACACTTCCCACAAGCAACCACAACAAATGGCATCAATATGAATCACAGGGATACAGAAGAATTCCAACTCTGCACAGAGCATTGAAGTTGGAAGAAGAAACCTTTCTGATAACCAACTAGAAGAGGAGAAGAAATCTTATTAGAAAATTTGAAGAAATGGCTACAGTGGTAGGAGCTAAGAAAGTTGATCTAAAGTTTCTTTATGAGTTGAATACCATTAAAGAAAATTTTGTTTTGAACTGAGCTTTATGAAGAAACTATTTTGAAAGTGTTAAAGTTATTAATCCACTCCAAATGCAGAAATGGCCTGAATTATTTCTGATGAAGACAAAACTTCTGATGAAGACTCTCAACAGAATAAATTAAATTCACATGTGTAAATATGTTATACAGCTATATAATTCTTTTTAAAGTCACCTCAAAGCACAGAATGACACTGCATAGTATTATTTTCTTTCTGAAACTAGTTGTGCTATAACAGTTCACATTGTCTCGAGTTCACACTGTCTCGTATTATTGACCATGATTACATAATAATATAATATTACAACAAGTATATCTATTAACCTTCAGGCATTTCTTGAAACACTCAAATAATGTATGTCAAAACTACACAAAAACAACTAATTTAGTGAAAAAGTGTTCATGAAATGATTTAAAGATTTAATATTGAGGAATAGAGTGCATTAAGGAAGAAATCTCTTGCTTTGATGTGAAAGTTAGGGGGCCAGATTTAAAAAACTTTACTTTCACAATTTTTGAAATTCTTAAGGTTTTAATGAAAATATTTTGCCATTTATAATAATATATGCCATTTCATTACGAAAACTGACCTGTTCAAGCAAAACAACAATCAAAGAATGTATTTGGAATTATTTTTGGAAAGTTGAGAGAGTTTAGGTACTATTGTTATTCACAGATGAATAGAAAATGAATAGAGAAATCTGAGAGCAGTACTAAAAGAAATAAGAAAAGCAAAATTAGAAGCAATGTAAATTTGAAAACATTAAGATCAAAGAATTTGTTCACTGAATTAGAGAAGTAGCAAAAACATATAAAAAGAATGTAACCAAGTAAAGTTCCAAAGATAAATAATAAATCCAAATCAAGAGGATATAGAAATCATGGCAGACCAAGGAAATGTTGGGAGATTCAAGAAAATCTTAACCAATGTGATGAGGAGGAGGAGGGTGTTTTATAGGGAAAGTTTGGGGTGGTGTTGTTTTGGTATACGAGTATAAATGCATTTTATACATAACATGTATTTTCATTAAAAATCTGGGCATAAATTGTTTGTAACATTACAGAACTTTCTCTACAAAATATTTATGAGAAGGTTAAAATTAGTTTTAAATACAAAAAATAAAGCATTAGTGAATTACAGTATTCTTAGAATTCTAAAATACTGATCTTACAAAAAATAAACAAAAGCATTGTATAAAAAAGTTTTTAACAGTTTGACAGGGTTCTTTATGCCCCCATTTTGTAGTTTATTAACTAATTCACTAACTAAATGACATAAAAGAAATGGGATGAAAGATTTTCAACTGTATTAAAGATAATCACATCTCATTCTCACTTTAACTGAGAAATTTATTCATCATAAGGTTACAATAATAGAACTAAATAGATTACTGAAAAAATCCTAAGATGAATAAATCTCTCAGTTATTGTGAAAACAATATTTAATTTCTTTAATGCAGTTGGAAATATTTTTACTGAATCTTAAAGAATCAACTGATTTATCCAACCAACCAATATCAATGGCTTAAATTTGAAATTCGCTTATGAAAAACAATTAATTGCAGGGTTAGAAGGTATGGAAATTATTGTTACAAGTTTTTTCATCTTAGTGTGAATAACAGTATTTAAATTTAGAGAAAGTTTGTTTTCCCATAGTTGCTGAAGTTAAGTTTTATTAAGTGAAAATGATAGTTCATTTACATATTATATAAATCAAGAAATAAATTTTTTAGACAGCCACTTGTAAAAGTGATTTTATCAGGTCATTTCCATTGTATGCTGAAAGTGAGATAATTCTCACTTGTTCAAATAAATTGTGAATGCATCAAGGAAAACAAAATACTTTCTTCTTATCGCATCAGTTACTACTGACTTTAATATTTCATTAAGTGATTTGTATATTCGAATTAAAATAAAAGGAAAGTCTAATAAAATGCACATGATAAAAGTGATTTTATTTTACTCATAGGATTGTGCTACTTGGCCTAGTGACTGTGTGTTGCAACAATTCCAACTTGCAAAATAAAATCAATTTTACCTCTCATGCCATAAATAACCATAATGTATGGACTTCATAAATTAATAATAATTAACAAATTCCCTCTTTTAACAGAGCTCTCCGCCGTCATTTTGTCCTAATGGCCGTTCAACAGACCTGTCTGCCATCTTAAGCGTCATTGATGAAGCTGAAAAATTCATTTACATCTCTGTGATGGATTATATTCCAATGACAATTTATACAGCCAAATCTAGGTATGATTATTTTGAAACTGATGTAAAAAGATGTAATAACAGTTGCTTCATAGGTGTTGAAGTTTTCATTTGACAAAGTCTGCATTATATTGTTATACTTACAATTTCAATACAATCTCTATTATTGTATTATGTTTTCTTGCCATCATTTAATCCAGAAACGGCATCAATTTCACACCATATGCATTCTGAATTGGACCAATCACATCTTGTCAGTCAATTACATTTCTTTAATTTTTGGAATCAACAAGCAAAATGACATTCTCTGCAAATTGTGCTTTATCTTCTGACACTTCCTCTCTATTCCTATCTAGTTGCCATACCCGTTTGAATACATTTACATTGGGTATAATGAAATACTTCATCTGCATTTTAACTGTCTGGTTTCCACTTCAGATATTTCAAAATTTCGTACAATATTTTCTCAAAAAAAGCATTCTTTGACAATTTTGCTTGATACATCAAAACTTACGAATTCCAAGATCTAAATTAATCATTAAATCATGGCGTAATTTCCATGAAAAAGAAATGCAATACCATAACATAATCTTAATAGTAAATATATATGATTAATAATTAGTAACATTTTTTTAAGACTTTGGACCGATATAGATGATGCCCTGAGAGCTGCTGCAATTAATCGAAACATTCACGTCCGATTACTCATTAGTCTCTGGAATCACACTCGACCTGCAATTCCACATTTCTTGAATTCACTGAGAGCTCTATCTGGAGCTTATAAAAATGTTCTAGTAGAAGTGGTAAGTAAACTCATAGTTCCTATCTTTTAAATATTAACTTCCATAAACATTTATTTGCAAAAAGCAAACCAAAAATTAAAGTCATTTGCATAATTTATTTCCTTACCATAAAAGATGGTTAATACACTTTAACATTGATTTTTTGATTACATAAGGGGAAAAAACCCTTTGATAACATTGTAATTCATTACAGATGCTACATGATGTAGATAGTTTGTATATTAAGACATATAATTCTGAAAAATGCAGATAATTTAGTATATTGGAAGATGAATTTTTGACCGCTTGATATGTTTGTTGAGGAATATTTGTTTAAACAGGGAACTTCTTTTTGTAAGTTTTAAAAAAGTTATTGAAAGCAGTATATGAAAATTTAATTTTATAACTCTCAAAATGACAATATACAACAATTATTAAAAATGTTTGTTAGGTTTTGAGTTAGTGAAAATACATATTAATTGGATTGAAATTCAATTTTTCTAGAAAATGTTTGTTGTGCCAAGCACACCAGAACAAAAGAAGATACCTTTTGCAAGGGTCAACCATAATAAATACATGGTTACAGATAAAACTGCATATATTGGTGAGTAAATATTATACGTACCAGGAAAAATATTCTAGAAGGGATTAAAAGAACTACTACTTGGATTTAAAGGTACCTCAATTTTGTTCCCATTTTTCTTTGCTGAAATTAAGCAAGTCATTTGCAAGACATTAAGCTAGACAGTTGCAAAAGAAGAATGGTAAGCACAAAAATAATTTGGAGAAACATAAGCATATGCGGCATATATGTTTTAGCTTTGGTAATAATGTGGAAGGTACATACAGAGAAGGATTTATGCACAGGCAACATTGGCAGTTGGGTACAGTTGCACAATTTCAAAAAACGTGTTTTTTTTTATGTATTTTAATCAGAATTTAATCTTTTTGTATACTTATTATAAACTGTTGTAGGGAGTTTTTTTCTGTTTTGAAAAGAATAAAAAAGCATGAACAGGATAGACTTAGCACATTGCTTATTATGACTATAGAAACTGATATGTTATTACCATTAAATTGTAATGATTTAATCAACAATTTTGCACAGTAAGCAGCGACATAAAAACTTTTTTTAATACTGTACCTGATATCAGATAACTTTTTTCTTCATATTTTCATAATCTTATTGTATCAAAAATTGATGTAAACTTGTTTGATTGGTGTTCTATAAATAATATAAAACAGTCCAAAAATTTTAGAAAATCAAATTAAATAAATATATTGAATAAAAAGAGTATATAACTTGTAACAGTTTAGTTCGGCAGTGTAAAACATTAAGAAATAACTATTTGAACTAGGAGAAGGGGGTGGAGTTTGACAAATTGGGTCTTGCCTTGGGTGATATGACATTATTACTACAAGAGCATTATCTTCAATGGTGTTGCATAGGGAGGTGAGGGGGCAGACCTGCATGGAAACTATCAATAATTAATAATCAAACTGGTTATCAAACTGCATCAATAATAAAAAATGTTTTCACTTACATTATAAATATATTCAGTTATTGTTCTTTTACTCCGTTTTTTAAACATTCTAGATGTAAATTAAAATTATTATAGATTCAAGAAGTAAAATATCTATATAAAATTAAGCCTGTCAGCTACTAATGATAATAGAATCTTAAGTTCTACATTATTTACATCATGCCTTTGTAATCTTTCCTACCATTACACATGGTAGGAATGACTATGTAAGGTCAAGAATTTAGTCCACATCAACATCTGGCTAATAGCTTATAATTCCGCTCTTTCTTCCTCATGAAAAAAATTGTTTGGTTTTTGAAAGAATGTTGAATTTTTCCTCTATTCATAGAACACAACATAACTTGCCTTCAAGAAGTGTTAAGTTGTTTCAAAAATATTCAATTACATGTTTCATTTACTAGGAATGATAGATTAATGCTGTGTATTTTTTCTCTTTAGGTACTTCTAATTGGTCTGGAGATTATTTCATAAATACAGCTGGCGTTGGTCTTGTTGTGTCAGAAAGTAATAATGATAGTGATGACAACTCTCTGCGAGCACAACTGCAGTCTGTATTTGAACGAGACTGGAATTCAAGTTATGCTCAACCTGTGCCCTCTGTACAATGAATTCCACAATGTTATGCTTCTTGAATTAAATTGACTTATGTAAGATGTGTGACATTACAAGGATTTAGTGCTTTCAGTATCCAGAACTATTTCAAAGAACTACAGAATGTGCAAGATTTGTGTGTGAAAAATCATCATTAAGTCTTCAGTAGTGCTCTGAAAGAGATTTTATAAACATTTTGGTAACAGAACTTCTTTGTTCAGCTGTTATTTTTGAAAAGTAACAGATTGTTTGAAGGAAATTGAAAGATTGTGCACACGTTTTTTGAGGATTTGGTTTCTCAAAGTAACTGAAAACACTTCATCATAGACTTAAAAAGAAATCTTTCTCAGAAGTCATTTTAATTCCATTTACCCTGATAAGTTCCATTCAATGTGATAATTATGTGATTCTGTAAGTGCAACATCAATTTATACTTATGATTATTGGATTGAATATTGCCGACTGTAAGAGGAGGTAACAAAGACATTATTCTTCAGTAAGGAATTGGGAACTATAACTGGAGTTTTCAACATGAAAGAGTGCATCTAATTTTCTCCAATTGGATCAGTCCTTCCAACTTTTATATCAGTACCTACTCTAGTGATTTACTTTTTTTCTCCAGCATGAAAACTCATTGTTAAAATATGCAGAGTTAATCATTAGATTTAAATGCATAAATGAACTGTACATACTTTTTTACTGTTGCATTTCTAGAGATATTGAAAAATATTAAAAATAGCCTCTACTGGAAGAATTACGATTTTGCATGTCTATCCCATAATTTTGTTGGTAATATCATTTACATAATTTTCTCATAAATATTCCAGAATTTACTTT